GTCCCCCTCCCCGTGGTGCCCCCTGTAACCCCTCCCTTGTCCCCACAGATGGGTGGCGGCGGTGGCAGCTTCACAGCAGCTCCCAGCACCACGGCACCCACAAACATGGGGGCACCCCTGGGCAGCGGCCTGGGTGACCTCTTCGACCTCACCGGTGGGGTGGGGACCCTCTCAGGATCCTACGTGGCCCCCAAAACGGTGAGTGGGGCAGCCCAGCCTGGGGTTAAGGGGGGCACAGACCCCCGTGCCCACCCCCCACAGCAGAGCCCCCCTGGAGGAGGTGGGGGAGCAGCAGAGGCTCTGCTGTGGGTGACACCCCGAGGGTTTCTTGTCTCCCTGGCCCAGGTGTGGCTCCCTGCCATGAAAGCCAAGGGGCTGGAGATCTCTGGCACCTTCAGCCGCCAGGTGGGCTCCATCTCCATGGACCTCGTGCTGACCAACAAAGCCCTGCAGGTCATGTCTGACTTTGCCATCCAGTTCAACCGCAACAGGTGAGTCCCACCCGGGCTGGCTCACCTGGGACCCGTGGAGACACTGCCCAAGGCAGAAAAGGGTGTGAGGAAGGAGCTGCAAGGGCTGGGAACAGCCTCTGGTGATGACCCTTCTCTCTCTGATGGCTGTGGTGGTGATGAGCATCAAACCAAAGCCTCTAAGAAGTTGGCTGAAGAGGCTGTTCCTCAGGGTCCTGTTGGTTGTCCTGGGAAACCAATGCTTCCTTTTCCCTCCAAGGCACAGAGGAAATGCTGCAGGAATGCCACAATGGCTGGAGGAGGACGGGGGGAGATTTGGGGTTGCCCCAGGGTGGGCAGGGCAGGAACCAGCCCTGTCCTGGATGGTGCAGGGGCAGCGAGGGGATTCCTGGGATGCCCATGGAGGAAGGCAGGGAGCGCCAGGCTTGGATGGACAGCACCTTGTGCCATCCCCTGCTGTCCCCACCCTGACCCCTGCCCTCCCTGGTGTCCCCCAGCTTCGGCCTGGCCCCAGCAGCTCCTCTGCAGGTGCATGCACCTCTGGCTCCCAACCAGTCCGTGGAGATCTCCCTGCCCCTCAACACCGTGGGCTCTGTCATGAAGATGGAGCCCCTCAACAACCTCCAGGTGGGGAACACGGGGCTGTCCCCTCCTGGGGAGCTGGGGACAGGGCAGGGTCCCTTGCAGAGATCCAGTGGGAGGTGTGGCAGCAGGAGCCAGGTGCTTGCTGCAGTGACACCTGGCTCCAGGGGGATGGGGATGGGGATGGAGAATGGGGATGGGACATTTTGGGATGGGGAGGGGGATGGGATGGGAATGGGATGGGGATAGGGGTGGGGAATGGGGATGGGATGAGACATTTTGGGATGGGATGGGAATGGGAATGGGATGGGACATTTTGAGATGGGATGGGGATGGGATGGGACATTTTGGGAACCTGAGGAGTTGAAATCCCCTTGTCCTTCCACACCAGGTGGCAGTGAAGAACAACATTGACGTCTTCTACTTCAGCACCCTGTACCCCCTGCACATCCTGTTCGTGGAGGACGGCAAGATGGGTGAGTGGGGTGACCATGGCTCCAGCAAGGTGTGCTCTCTCACCTGTCCCTAGGTGCCATCCCAGCACCTGCAACCTTCTTGATCACATTGGGTGAGCCCCCAAAAGCAGGTGGCTGCCCTGAGGCTGCTGGAGCGGGTGGCAGGGTGACATACCTGGCCTGCCATGTCACCTGTGTGGTGCCACCTTTGGGGTGGCCAGTCTGGCAGCTCCCTCAGCGCTGGTGTCCTCCCTCCCTGCAGAGAGGCAGACATTCCTGGCCACCTGGAAGGACATTCCCAACGAGAACGAGACCCAGTTCCAGATCAAAGATTGTTCCCTCAACGCAGGTGGGTGCCACCCCTCGCAAGGACCTGGCTCGGGTCACACTTAACTCACCCTGTCCCCAGTGCCACATCCACGTGGCTGTTCAATCCCTGCAGGGGTGGGGACTCCAGCACTGCCCTGCACAGCTGTGCCTCCCTTTCCATGAAGAAATTTCCCCTAATTCCCTAAAACCCAATCTAAGCCTCTTCCATGACGAGGAGGAGAGGAGGTGGGGCAGGAGCAGGTCCAGGGGGAGCAGGGGCTCAGCCCAGCCCCTCAGCCTCTCTCTCTCCCATCCCAGATGCTGTGAGCAGCAAACTCCAAGGCAGCAACATCTTCACCATAGCCAAGAGGAACGTGGAGGGCCAGGACATGCTCTACCAGTCCCTGAAGCTCACCAACGGCATCTGGGTGCTGGCAGAGCTCCGGATCCAGCCCAGCAACCCCAGCTTCACGGTACATCCCATCCCCTGCCTGCTCCCGCCCCCGGGGCTGAGGGCACATCCCTGCTGTGGCACCTCCCCAGCTGCTGGTGGCGCTGGTGCCAGCCCCGCTGTCCCTCTCTCGTGGGGAGGGTGGCACTGGTCCTGTGGGGGGACAGCTGAGGGACACAGAGGGCTCCCAACCCACCCAGCTCCACGGAGCCCTGTCCTGGGAGCATTCCCTGAGCAGGGATCTCTCCACACCTCACCCATGAGCCATCCCGGTGTCCTGCTCTCCCTGTCCCCTCCCCACGTCCCTGGCAGCCTTTGGGGTGGGGTGGGGCCAGCTGTGTCACCCTGACTCCTCTCTCTGTGTCTGTCCCCGCCGCCCGCCCTCGCCGGCCTTGCTGCTCTTGCAGGATTTGGAGGTTAGAGATTGGTTTTTCCCTGGCTTTGGGCTCTCCCTGGCTGCTGCCTGGATATTCCTCCCTCCCCCGATGTTTTCCCTGCCCTGCCAGTCTCCTGGTGCCTCCTGCTTCTCCTTCCCAGCAGGGCTGGCACAAGGAGGGTTGGGATGTCCCCATTGCCCTGCTGGTTTCACTGGAGATGAGGATAGCTGAAAATCCTTATCCCAGAGGATTCTCCATGACCTTTCCCTGCTTGAGGAGCTAATTGATTTGGGAATGATGTAACATTTAAGCAAACACCTGAAGGGGCTCATTCCTCTTTGGAAAGGAGGATGTTTTTGGGGAACCCTTCAGCCTGGAGCGCCAGGCACTGAATCCAATCCCAGAAGCTGGAGTGTTGCCCCTGCCTGTTCCCTGCCTGTGCTGCATGTGGATGGCTCTGCCCTGGGAGGGCTTGCAGGGCTTTAATAACCTTTTTCCAGCTGCAGGCAGGAGCTGGAGTGCCCCGTGGGAGGGAGGGAGCTGCAGCATGCAGGGCTCTGCTTTGGGGCTGGGGGCTCTCCAGTGTGGGGTGGGAGGCCATGACCCCGCTCTTCCCTCTCTCCCCACAGTTATCCCTGAAATGCCGAGCACCAGAGGTGTCCCAGTACATCTACCAAGCCTATGAGACCATCCTGAAGAACTGAGGTGCTGCTGCAGCCCCTCCTCCTCCTCCTCCTCCTCCTCCTCCTCTCTCTCCCCTCCTTTTCCCGCCCGAGGGAGCAGGGCTGGATCTGTGTGCATCTCCCCTTTCCCCCCTGCCCAGGACCCAGCCCCTGGGGTTCTCCCTCTCCTGGGGGGCTGGGGGGAGCAGAGGGGGCAGGGGGCTGTCCCCAGTCCCTGCATCCCTGCAGCCATCCATGTGTGAGTGATGCCATGTCCTCCTCCTGGTGCTGCTCCCTCCATATCCCAGTTTCACCCTCCACATCCCAAAAAGCCCAGCTCCTGCTCCTGGCTCTCATGGAGTGCTGTCTGGTGGTGGGTTCAGCATTCCAAACCCTGGGAATAGCTGCTGGGGGGCCCAGAGTGGTGTGGGATTGGCTGCAGATCCTCCTGGAGCCCTGGCATTTGGGGCTGGAGCAGGTGGGAAACAGCTTTGGCTCTCCCTGATTTTGTGCCCTGGTTCAGCAGAGCTGTGGGTGAGCCCTTCACAGAGGATCTCCTCCCCATGGGAGCCCTTCCCAAAGCTCCCAGAAGGGCTCGAGGATCCCATATTTGAGGCTGTACTTAAGGTGCAGGTTAAAAAGGGCTTTTCCAGCCCCCTCCAGCCCCTGCCACGGGGCCAGGAGGGCTCTGAGTGTCCCTTCTCCCCCAGCCCAGCCCCACAGCTCCCTCTGCTCCCCCCTGGCACCCCTGGGTGCTCCCCTGGGGCTCCCACTGCTCCTTTCCCCCCCAAATCAAGCCATGGGTCCCCCCTCCCTGGAAGCAGGAAATCTCTAATATATGAAAGATAAATATATTGTAATGTTCACTGGTTTGAGGGAATGTTGAATAAAGGTGACACCAGCCCCTGGGGACACTGCTGGGGTGGCCATGGCCCAGTGACCCCGAGGGACTCAGGATCCTGGGAGCTTCCTGCCAGCCCTGCAGGGCCAGATAAGCCCTCCCTGGGGCCAGTGGCCTCTGGCCCAGCAAGGCCTGACACAGCAGATGGGCAGGGCTGGGACAGGGACATGGGGCCAGCCCTGGGGCCTTGGGGACAGGAAGGGCCTGGAGAGCTCATGGCTCTGCTCCTGGAGCCTCTCAGGGATCCACCAAAGTGGCCCTGCACTGTACATGGTGTCCAGTCTGGGTGCCCCAAGCCCCTCCTGGGGCTGGGGACAAGTGTGGGGTCCCCAGGAGGTGCTGCTGGTCCCTGTGGGGTGGGTGATGAGCAGCACCACCCAGTCCTGCTCTGGGACACCCCACAAATCACTGGTGCTGCTCTGGGGCACCCCATGGGCCACCAGCACCGCTCTGGGGCTGGACAGCAGAGCAGGTGTCCAGGGAGCACAGTGGACACCGTGCTTTGGAACCCCCAAAGTCACAGCAGGGATGTCACCACCAGCAGGTCTGGACCCTCCTGGTGACCCACAGCCTGCTGTGTCCCCTGGGCCAGCAGCCCTGGGGTGAAGGTGCCTGGCCATGGGGCACCTGGGGCTCCAGGGACACCTCTGGAGGGGTTCCAGTGGCTGTAAGGGGTCCAGGACATCAGGACCCTGCTCTTCACTGCTCCCACCCCTGCTGGCACCCCCAGAGCCTCCTTCCCTCGGGCCTGGGGCTCTGAATCCCCCTGGACAGATGAGCAGACATGGTGGGCTCAGCTCCGTTGGTCTTTACTGGCTGGAGAGGACATGCAGGGGTGGGGGCCTCGGTGGCCTGGGCTGGGGACACAGCCCTGTCCCACCCTGGGGACATCAACACGAGCTGGGGGCAGTGCTGTGGCCAGCTGGGGGCTGGAGAGGGAACAGTGACCCCTCCTGCCCTGAAACGGGGCTTGGGCTGACAAACTGCATTGTCCCCAAGTCATCTCAGGGGTGGAGAGGAGAGGCTGGAGAGGAGAGAGGAGAAAGTGGCCCAGGAGGTGATGATGAGGCCAAGAAGAGAAGAGGGGAAGGTCAAGAGGAGAAGATGATGAGGGAAAAGGATGTGAAGGCCAAGAGGAGAAGAGGAGGAGGCAGCCCAAAAGAAGAGAGGAGAGAGAAGATGAGAGGAGGAGGAGGATAAGAATAGCAAGAAGAGGAGGAGAAGACAAGAAGAGAAGGTCAAGATAAGGAAAACAAGTGGAGAAGAGTGAGGAGATAGAGACCAGGAAGGGAACTGGGTGCTCTCCAGCCCCATTCCCAGCTCTGCTCTGGCCACCCCTGCCCTGACCACACGCCTGCCCGCCCTGGAGCTGCTCCCCAGGGCATGGGGACACCCCTGGCACCCTCAGGGGCTGGGGGCTCCTTGCAGGGCCCCCCCAATGCCAACAGTCACCAAATGCAGAAGTCCTGGCCACCGCAGCTCTGCGGCCATCGCCTGCCCGGGTGCCACCTCCACCCTCCCCAGCAGCCCGGGGATGTCCCCAGGGGCTGCCAGGCGCTGCCACCGACCCCTCAGGGACCCCTCATGGCCACGCGTTCTCCTCCAGCCCCTCGCGCTCCCGAGGGGCCCAGGGGGGCTCCAGGAGGGAGGAGGGGACGCTCTGCGGAGCCCCCCAGGCCCTGGCGCTGCCGTTGGGGGCCCGCTGGGGCCGTTCCCCGTAGCCCCGGGGCGTGGGGATGCGGGAGGGCGCCCTGTGGGGCTGCGTGTCCAGCCGGGGCTTGGCCCAGGGCCGCGGCGGGGGCGCGGGGACCCCCGGCCCGGGGCTCTCCTCCATCTCCATCAGCTCGTCCTCCCCGGCGGCCCAGTCGGTGTCGGAGCCGGCGTTCCCCGGGGTGTCCCGGTTGTTGTCCCAGGAGGCCGGGAAGCAGCAGCTCTCGTCGGAGGAGCTGGAGAAGGTGGAGCGGCGCCTCGCATCCGCCAGGGAGGGGTTGGACGGCAGCGGGGGGCACCCGCCGTGGTTCCCGTTGTTGTTCCCGTTGTTGTTCCCGTCGCTGCTCCCGCCCCGCCGCCCCTCCTCCGCGGGCAGCCCGTGCTTGGCGAAGACGTTCAGGGAGGAAGACGAGGATGAGGAGGAGCAATAGGCCGAGTCAGCGGCGGCGGCGGGGGGCGCGGGGGGGGCGCTCTCCGTGTCCCCCAGCTGCTCCAGCAGCCGCGTGTTGGCCAGGAATTCCTCCTCCAGCCGCTGGAACAGCCGCTGCTCCTGCCCGGGCTCCAGCCAGCGCGGGGCCCGCAGCCTCCGCGCCAGCTCCTCGGGGTCCCCGGCGCCGGGCCGGGGGTCGCGCCGCCCCCCGGGGCTCCCGGCCGCGGCCGGCTCCGCCCGTGCCCACGAGTGCTGCCCGTCGGGCCGGCGGCGGATGAGCAGCAGCGGCGCCGAGCCGCGCCCGGGGCTGCGGGAGGCGCGGGGGGAGCCCGGGGCGGGGGGGTCCGGGGGGTCCCGGCGGGCCGGGGGGCGGCGGGGGCCGCTCTGCGCCGAGGCGGCCGAGGAGTCGCTGTCACCCGAGCAGCGCCGGGAGCGCGCGGGGGCGCGCGGCCTGGGGGCGGCACGGGACAGGGGGGGAGTGAGAACACTGGGGTCCCCCCCAGGGCACCCCCCGATTGCACAGCCTCCATTAACCCCCCCCTGCTACCCCCCTGGCACCCCTCCTCGTGGAACCCCCCCCCAGTGCCCCCCATTGCACCCAACCCTGCCCATTCTCTCACATGGCACCCCATATTCCTTCCATTGCACCCCACTTCCCTCCCCACTGCACCCCTTCATTCTTCTCCCTTTAGCCCCATTCCTCCTCGCTGCACCCCCATTGCATCCTCCCCCTTAAACCCCATTTCCATCCTCGCTGCACCCCTGCCGAACTCCACATTGCCACTATTGAACCCCATTTCCCTCCCCTTGCCCCCCCATTAAACCCCCCCGTTCTCCCCCTTCACTGCCCATTCCTCTTCCCTGCACGCCCCAGAACCCCATTTCCCTCCCCACTGTCCCCCATTTCCCCGCTCCATTAAACCCCCACTGAATCCTCCCATTCCACTCTCATTCTCCCCCCTCAGCCCCCGCCCATGGCACCCCATATTCCCTCCATTGCACCCCACTTCCCCCCACTTCCCCCCACTGCCTCCCTTCTCTGAACTCCCCTATGGCCCCCCACATTCCCCTCCCTGCCAATCACATCCCCCTCCATTTCACACCCCACTGGACCCCCATTTCCCCTACTGCCCTTTCATTCCACCCCCTTGTTCCCCCACTGCACCCCAGTGAACCCCTATTGCCCCCCACTGCCCCCCCGCATTGAACCCCACGAAATCCCACAGCCCCCCAACGCACCCCCCATTTCCCCCTTGTAGCCCCCCTTCCCTTCCCCTCCTACTCCCCACTATTCCCTCCATTGATCCCCCAATGCTTTCCCCATTTCCCCCCTCCCACTGCTCCCACAGACCCCCACTGCCCCCATCACCTCCCAGTGCCCCATTGCTTGTCCCCATAGCCCCCCACCGAACCCCCATTGTCATCCTCCATTTCCCCTCCCCTGCCTTCCCTAACTGCATCCCCATTCCCCCATTCTTTCCTACTGCACCCCCATTTCACCCCAAATTCACCCCACTGCCCCCTCAGTACCACTCACTGCCCCCCATTTTCCCCATGACTTCCCCATTGCGTCCCCCAGCGCACCCCCAATTCACCCTCTCGTACCTCCCACTGCCCCCAATGATCCCCCCATTTGCTCCTCATTTCCCCCCCACGGTCCCCAGTGATTCCATTTCCTTTCACTGCCCCCCCAGGATCCCCCCAGTGTTCCCCATTGCATCCCCCAGTTCAGCCCAGTTACCCCATTCCACCCCAGCACCTCCCACTGTCCCCCCTCACTGCACCCCCACCGCCCCCAACGCTTTCCCCATTACCGCCCCCGTTCCCCCATCCCCTCGGGGGGGCTCAGCCCTTCCGCGGGGTCTCGGTGCAGTTTTGGGGTCCCCCCCAGCCCCGGGGGGGCCGTACCTGAGCGTCCCCGCTGCCCGCGGCTCGGCGGGGCTCCGGGAGGGGCTGCCGGAGCAGGGGGCGGCTCCCCCTCGGGGGGGCAAACCCTCCTGCCGCGGGGGCTTCGGGGGGTCCCCCCGGGGCTGGGGGGGCCCGGCGGGCCGGGGGCGCCGGGGGACGCTGGGGCTGGAGGCGCGGGACGAGGAGGAGGGGCCGGGAGCCGCTTTTTGGGGGGGACATGCCCGGGGTGCGGGGCTGGGGCAGGCGGTGAGCTGGAAGGGACAGGGGGAGGGAGGTCAGCAACCCCTCCCCTCCCAGCATCCCGATTTTCCAGCCGGGATATTCCCGGAGGTGGTGACGCCTTAGGAATTTGGGGAAAAACCCCACTTTTGTCACTCCCCTTTTTCCCCCTTCCAGCAGGATCAGTGCCCTGAGGAGCCCAGCCCCAGGGAAGGGAACCCACAGAAAATCAGGGAGAACCATGGAGAACCAAGGAAGGGAACCCATGGGGAAACAGGGAACAGAACCCCACAGAAAATCAGGGAGAACCATGGAGAACCAAGGAAGGGAACCCATGGGGAAACAGGGAATAGAACCCCACAGAAAATCAGGGAGAACCATGGAGAACCAAGGAAGGGAACCCATGGGGAAACAGGGAACAGAACCCCACAGAAAATCAGGGAATGGAGCCCCATGGAAAATCAGCAACAGCGTCCCAAGGAGAGCCAGGGAATGGAACCCCACAGAGGATTAGGGAACAAAACCCCATAGAGAACCAGGGAGAATCTGGGAACAGAGCCCATGGAGAACCAGGGAATGGAACCCCACAGAGGATTAGGGAACAAAACCCCACAGAGAACCAGAGAATGGAGCCTCAGGGAGAATGGAATGGAATGGAACAGAACCTCACAGGGAATGGAACCTCACAGAAAATCAGGGAACAAAACCCCACAGAGAACCAGGGAAAGGGGCCCCAGGGAGAATCCAGAAATGGAACCCATGGAGAGCCAGGGAATGGAACCTCACAGAAAATCAGGTAACAAAGCCCCACAGAGAACCAGGGAGAAGAGTCCCACAGAGAATGGAGCCCCAGGGAAAATCTGGAAATGGAACCCATGGAGAGTGGAGAACCAGGGAATGAGAACTCCACAGATCAGGGAACAAAACCCCAGAGAGAACCAGGGAAAGGGGCCCCAGGGAGAGTCCGGGAATGGATCCCATGGAGAGCCAGGGAATGGAACCCCATAGGAAATCAGGGAACAAAATCCTATAGAGAACCAGGGAAAGGGGCCACAGGGAAAGCCAGGGAATGGAAGCCCATAGAAAAGCAGGGAACAAAACCCTAGAAAGAACCAGGGAAAGGGGCCCCATGGAGAATCCAGGAACGGATCCCATGGAGAGCCAGGGACTGAGTGGGAGCCCCCAGAAGCCAGGATGGTGCCAGGGGATGGCAGTGGCTGCGGGGTGACACTCACAGAGGGCAGCACAGCGACACGGGTCGTGCTTGTCCAGGTAATGCTCCAGGGTGTCCCAGCCGCCGCCCACGCGCACCATGACGTGGCTCCGCAGCACCTGCGGGCAGCGCTGTCACCTGCCGGGCCCCAAAAGCCACCAAAGGCACCCCAGGACCCCGGCGTGGGCGGGAAACCCAGCTCGGGACCCCGCACACCCTGCCCGGGAACGGGGGAAGCAGAGGGGCACGGTGTAATGGGGGGACAATGGGGTCAGGGGGACAATGGGGTGAGGAGGGGGACAATGGGGTGAGGGGGACAATGGGGTGAGGGGGACAATGGGGTGAGAGGAGGACAATGGGGTGAGAGGGGACAATGGGGTGAGGAGGGGGACAATGGGGTGAGGGGGACAATGGGGTGAGGGGGACAATGGGGTGAGGGGGAACAATAGGGAGGGGGGGGACAATGGGGTGAGAGGAGGACAATGGGGTGAGGGGAGACAATGGGGTGAGGGGAGACAATGGAGTTGAGGGGGGGACAATGGGGTCAGGGGGGGACAATGGAGTGAGGGGGGACAATGGAGTTGAAGGGGGACAATGGGGTCAGGGTGGGGACAATGGGGTGAGAGGGGGGACAATGGGATGAGGGGGACAATGGGGTCAGGGGGACAATGGGGTCGGGGCGGCTCTCACTCGGACGAAGATGAGCGTGTTGGAGTCGCCCACTTTGTACTTCCCCTCCGAGACCTTGACCATGGGGAATTGCGAGGGGCAGGAGCAGCAGCCCAGGATCTCCCGCACCTGCGGGCACACAGGGGAGGGGTCAGCGGGGCGTGGACACCCCTCTGTAGGGTCGGCGGGGTCCAGAACCCCTTATAGGGCTGGTGGGGCACAGACCCCCGTTACAGAGCTGCTGGGGCACCCCCCCTCCCATTATGGGGCAAGCAGGGCATTGACCCCCCCATTATAGGGCTGGTGGGCATAGGAACCCCCCTATAGGGTCAGTGGGGCACAGACCCCCTGTTGTAGGATCAGTAGGTACACACCCACTGCTATAGGGCTAGTGGGGCACAGACCCCCCAGTTATAGGGCTGGTGGGCATAGAACCCCCCTGTAGGGTCAGTGGGGCACAGACCCGCCATTATAGGGCAGGTGGGCACAGATGTCCCCCTGTAGGATCAGTGTTATAGGGCTGGTGAGGCATGGACCCACTGCTATAGGGCTGGTGGGCACAGAAACCCCCCTATAGGGTCAGTGGGGCACAGACCCCCTGTTATGGGATCAGTAGGTACGGACCCACTGCTATAGGGCTGGTGGGCATAGAACCCCCCTATAGGGCCGGTGGGGTGCAGACCCGCCATTGTAGGGCAGATGGGCACAGATGTCCCCCTATAGGGTCAGTGAGCACAAACCCCGGTACAGGGCTAGTGAGGCATGGACCCTCCACTATAGGGCCCCAGGAACCCTTGCTATAGGGTCGGTGGGGCACAAACCCCCCTGTTATAGGGCTGGTGGGTCATGGACCCTCCACTGTAGGGTCGGTGGGGCACAGACCCCGTTGTAGGGTCGGTGTGGATCCCCACTATAGGGGCAGCCCCTCAGACGGGCACACATGGAGGGCTCTGTGTGCCCCCCACGCTCCGTGGGGAGTGGCTGGGGCCGGGCTCTCCTCCCATGGCCGGGCACCCCAGCAGGCTGAGAACGGGCACAGCTCTCCTCGTTTGGGGTCCACACACACAACATCCCCCACCGCACTGATGCTGAACCACGGGGGAGTCACCCCCAGACCCCCCCATGGGGCAGGACCTGCATCCACCCACAGAAATGGGGTCAATCCCGGGGGGTTTTGCCTCCCTCTGAACTTGCAGGTGTGGCACGGGGAGAAGCGGAGCGGGAGGGTTTGGGGGGCCGGGCAGGGCACCCCGGGGCTGTGGGGTGGCCGGGCAGTGCCAGCTGCCGCCTCTATCCCCGGGCTGACGTCAGGGATTAACCGGGAGCCACGGGGGGACGCGGGGACGCGGCCGATCCTGCCCCGGCCCGGGGCTGCGGGGGGGACACGGCGCCGCCTCGCCCCCAAATTTGGGGTTGCTTTAATAATTCCGTGATTTTGGGGGGTGGGGGATCTTCCCGCGGCTGTGCCCATGGCAGCGGTGAGAGGACGGAAGGATGTGGCCGCTCCGGTTCCCATCCGGGTGACACGGATGGGAAACTGGGGAAACTGAGTCACGGAGTGCCGGGGGGCGGGGGCTCTGCAGTGAGGAGGGGTCGTGACCCTGCTGCCACCCCGGGGGGGCACCTGGGGACGCGGCGAGCCGGGTCCTGCTCCGCCAGGCTCCTCCCCGGCGCTGGCGCTGCCCATAAAAGCCGATGGCGAGGAATTACGCAGCCCGGAAAAATGCAGCGCCCGGCCAGGGGGGCTTGGGGGGGCGACAGCCACGGGGGAGCCCCCCCGAAACGGCCCTGGGCGGAGGGGGGGGGTCAGGATGCTCTTTAATGAGGGACTTAATGAGGAATTGGGGTTTCAATTGAAAAAAGGCTTAGGGAGGCAGGGGAGGGCAGAGCCCCCCGTGTCCCCCCCGGGCAGGGTTAATCCACTGCCTCACCCGCGGGACGGATCCCGCACCCGCCTTTAATCCATCCTGAGCTCCCGGCCCGGCGGGGTCCCCGCACCCCCCTCCTGACACCCCAAACTGTGGCTGGGATGTCCCCATGTCCTCCCTGGGGACAGCAGCCCCGAGGAGGGAGGAGCAGCCCCGGGTGGGGACCGCTGTGGGTCACCCCCGATGGGGAGCAGGGCACAGGTGACACCTGTGTCCCTGCTGTGATTCTGGTCACAGCCACCAAAACAGAGTCAGGAGGCTCCACGGGAGCCTCGGTGGGTGGGGAGGAGCTGCTGTAGCCATGGAGAGCTGGGATGGGTGGGTGGAGCATGGACCACAGCGGTGGGCAGAAGATCCTATGGACCACAGGGGTCACAGTGACACGTGGGACCTCCCCTGGACCACTGAGTGCCCTTTGGATGGGCAGGAGGGACTTCCTGGGGGTCACAGGGACAGGTGGGACCTGCCAGGGACCAGAGGATGCCCCACTGGGGAGGACAGGTGGGAGCTCCCATGGATCATGGAGCACCTCACGGGGCACACAGACAGGACCTCCCAGGGGCCACAGAGACAGAGAGGACTCCAGGGGACCAGAGAGATGGGTGGGACCCTCCATGGACCCTGCTGGGTGGACAGAGACAGGTGGGACCTCGTAGTGACCACAGAGTGACCATTGGGTGGACAGAGAGGTTCTCCCATGGGCCATACACAGGTGGCACCTCGTAGTGACCACTGTGTGGGCAGGCAGGACCCCCCTGGAGGCAGAGGGCACCCTGTTGGGCGCACAGAGAGGAGCTCCCATGAAGCACAGAGCTGCCCGCTGGGTGGCTGGGCAGGGGCTCCCCTGGAGCACCGGGCGAGGCCCGGCCTGGGCGGCCGCAGGGCCCTCACCCAGGCGCAGGGCTCCGCGGGCAGCGCGTGTCTCACCAGCTCGTCCAGGTTCCTGAGGTCGCACAGGGCCATGGGCCGGGCCCGGCTGGGGAAGGCGCCCGCCCGGGGCTCCCGGCTCTCCCGGCGCGCGCCCAGCGCGCCCTCGGCCATTTGGTCCCTCATCTCCTCCTCGATCTCCTCCTCCATTTGGATCAGCATGGGGGCCAGCATGCCGAACTTGGAGCCCCTCCTGGCCACCTCCAGCAGGCAGAGGACAAAGTTCTTCTCGTTCTTCTTCAGCACCAAGTCGTTGGTCTCGAACATGAGCACGTCCTGGATGCCCAGGTCCTGCCGGCACCACTGGATGAAGTTGGAGACGTTGTCCCTGGCGATGAAGGAGCCGGGCACCACGTTCTTGGCCTGGAACACCACCTCGTTCTGGGGCACTCGCATGCGGGCGGCCGCCTCGGGGTGCCGCTCCTGGAAGTCCAGGGCGGTGCGGTTGACATTGTTGGCGTGGCGGCAGAGGTGACAGCCGGTCTCCAGGCTCTCCAGGAAGGTGTCCACCTGGATGTCCAGGTCGTAGAGGGTGTTGAACCACTCGGCCAGGTCCTCCTTCATGGCCTCCAGGTACTCCTCGCTGGAGCGGAAGGGGCGGATGCTCTTGGAGGCGGCCGACTGGATGTGGCTGGGGTCAGCCATGGCCAGGTGCCTGCAGGGGGACAACGGAGGCTGTCATGGGCAGGAAAGCCCCAAAGGCCCCCCCAGACCACCCACCAACCTCAGTGACCCCTCTGTGCCTCAGTTTCCCCCACATGTTACCACCACCACTGCCACCCCAACCCCTCCGGGACCTGGCTGATCCCGGCCAGGACCTGCAGCCCCCCCACTCCCTGTCCCTCCACCCCGTGTGTCCCCCCCCCACAGCCCATGTCCCCTCATGTCCCCCCACCATGTTTGTCCCCATTCTCCACGTCCTCTCATCCTGTGACCCCCCCCCAGGTTAATGAGTCCCTTGTCACCCATGCCCACCCCTGGGCACAGAGGGCACATCCCTCCCCAACCCCGCCCTAGAAGCTGCCCAGTCATGGTGGGTGTCCCCACCCTGGAGCAGGTGACACCACGAGGGATGGCAGTGCCAAGGGCAGGGAGCCCCCCCTTTACCCTGGGTGGGTTCAACCCCGAGGGGCTGCAGGGGGTGGGGGGATTGGGGGATTGGGGTCCCAGCACTCAGCAATGGGGTGGGGGCTGCACCTCGGGGAGACCCCCGGCTGTCCCTGCCCTGGGGTGGGGGTACAAGAGCCAGGGATGGCTCAGCAGGGGGGGTCACCCTGACCTCCACTGCCACCCCCAGCCCAGCCCCACACCCTGGTAGGGGGGTCCTGCCCCTGGGGTGTCCCTGCTGCCGAGGGGGTGGCCCCTACCCTCGGAGGGGTGTCCCTGTTGGGGAGGGTCCTCTCACCTGGGGGGGGGTGGCACTGCCACCCTCGGGGATGGGGGACCCTGTTGGGGGGTGGTCCCCATCCCTCCAGAGTGGGGGATCCTGTCGGGGGGTGTCTCTTTCCCTCGGGGAGGGGGTGTCCCTGTCGCGGGGTGTCCCTTTCCCCCGGGGGGGGCTGTCTCTGCCGGGGGGGTCCCTACCCTCGGAGGGGGGGGCTGTCCGTGCTCGGGGGTGTCCGTATCGGGGGTCCCCCTGTCCCTTGGGGGGCGTCTGTCCATCCCTGGGGTGTCTCTGTCTCGGGGTGGGGGGGTCCCTTTCGGCGCTGGGCTCCCTATTCCGGGCCGATCCAGCGGGGGCGGCGGGAGGGGATCGGCACCTGCGGGGACACTGGGGAGGGGACACAGGGCCCGGGGCCACCCGCCGACCCCCCCGGCCTCACTCACCGCCGCCGCTCCGCGCTCCGCTACGGCCGGGCCGGGCCCGCTCCCCGCTCCGGGCCGGGCCGCGGCTCCCAGCGCCGGGGGGGCCCCGCCGCGGCCCCCGCCGCCATCGGCCGCCCGCAGCGGCCCGGGGGGAGCCGGGGGGGCCCGGGGGGCGCCCAACGAGGCTCGGCCGCCGCAGCCCCGCGGAGCCGCCGCCGCCGCCGCCGCCGCGCCCCGGCCGGGAAGTTGGAGGCGGCCCAGAAAGGGCCGGGACGGGGGCGGCGGCGGCGGCGGGCGGGGACGGGAGCGGGAGGGACACGGACATGGGGGGGGGGGACAGGGACATGGCCCGGAGGGGGGGACACAGACACGGACACGGGCGGGGGCGCAGCACAGACAGACAGACACGGGGGGGGGGAGGGGGCACGGACGTGATTTGGGGGGGCGGCACGGACACGGGAGGGGCACGGGGGTGACACATAGCGACACTCGGTGACATTCCCCCACCCCCGCCCGGGTGTGGCTCCCCGCTTCCATTGATCTGCATCCTCCTCCTCCTCCCCCCACACTCCCTCCCTTCCCCGGAACTCACACCCGCTGGGGAAACTGAGGCACATCGGATGCACCGGGCGGCTCCGTCCCTCCCCTCCATCCCCTCCTACCCCGGCCCGGGCCCGGGGGCCGCATTCCCCCGGGTGGTCTCAAGAAAGGCCAGCAATGGTGCGGTTACAAACAGCGGGAATTTTATTTAAAAAAACAACCGTCACAACCGTTCACAGCGTTACAGGCGGGGAGGGGGGCGGGGGCGCGTTAAACAACCGGTTTTATTTTGGGGGGGGGGGGGGAAGAAAGAATTCATCACGCTACCGTTGAACTTGGTTTTAATGTTTCTCCACAAACGGTGAAAAATACTAAAGTACAGACAAGGAGGACTCATAATGTTGTGGCCAACATTATAAATATGGAATTATAAATTTAAAACATTTTTTTTCTGTTTTAAAAAATAAATCTGGTAGTAAATGCGGCTCTGGGGGGGCGGCGTTAGTAGGGCCGGTCTCGGCGATCCTGGCGGTGTTCGCCCCTGTGGGCCGGGGGGGGGAACGGGTCAGTCGTGGGGTCCAGGAGCCCTCCCCGGGTCGGGGAGGCTCCTTAACCCCTCACCCAGAGACCCCGCACCCATTCCCCCACCCCATCCCCCCCCCACCATTCACCCCTTGCCCCCCCCACCCATTTGTCCCACCCCAGCCCCCCCCACCTTGTCCCCATCAGGGTCTCCCCCTCCCCAGGGTCCCCTCCCATCACTCCCTGTCCCGCCCTCCATCCATACTTGTCCATCTTTCCCGGCCCTCCGCGCCGTCCTCTGCCTCCTCCTCCCATCTGCTCCATGAGGGGTCCGGGGGGTCCCCCGGGGCCGCCGCCTCCTCCTCCTCTCCGGCCGCCTCCTCCGTAGCCGCCTCGGTCCATGCCCCGGCCACCTCGGAATCCGCCTCGGTCTCCGCCGCGGCCGCCTCGGAACATCCCCCCGGGTCCCCCTCGGTCCATGAGGCCCCCGCCGCGCCCGCCCCGCATCCCCCCGGGGCCACCTCGGCCGCGGTCACCGCCTGCGGGAGGAGCAGAGAGCCGGGAGTGAGCCCCAGGGAGCACAGCCCGAGCCCTGCTCCCCACCCCGGCATCCCAGCACGCCCAGCTCTGCCAGGAGAAGGGCTGCGAGCTGCTGGGTGCCTGAGAGGATTCGGGGTTCATTAAGGCTGAAGCAGTGCCCTCGGGAGTTGGGGTGCTGCTGAGAGCCCCCCCAAATCCAGTTAGCACAGGAGAAATCCCAGTCTCCATGTCATGGCTCACTGAGGGATGAAGGCCCTGGCAGCTCATGGAGCTGGCCCAGCCATTCCCCAAGGAGCCTGAGGCCAGGCCTGGGGTGTCCTGCTGGGAAGTGGGGCTGGGAACCCCCCAAACGTACCTGGAGGAGGGAAGGGGGGTGGGAGGAACCCCTCCGGTTTGGGCGCCTTGCACTGGTTGCACTCTGTTCTCCAGGCAAAGTTCTGGTTTCCACAGCCCCTGGGTACAAATTCCAGTTAGGCCAGAGTGGGACAGCATTCCAGCTGGGGTGACATTGGGAAGCACGAGCAGGAGAGCACGTGGAGAGGGGACACAAGGGCAGGATGTGGGGCACAGCTCCCACAGTGGGGCGGGGGCCTGGCTGCCCACAGGAGCCGTAGTTCACCCACAGCCCCCAGGAGTGACCCCGTCCCTCCCTCTGTGCCAGCTGGAAGCTGCTTCCTGGGAAGGCCCAGCCAGTGATTCTGGGATGATTGGGATGATTCTGCCCTGGCCAGCTGCAGCATGGCCCAGGGCTGTGGGGTACTCAGGGGTTGGGGCACTGCCCACAGGGCTGTGGGGTACTCAGGGGTTGAGGCACTGCCCACAGGGCTGTGGGGTACTCAGGGGTTGGGGCATTGCCCACAGGGCTGTGGGGTACTCAGGGGTTGGAGCACTGCCCACAGGGCTGTGGGGTACTCAGGTTTTGGGGCACTGCCCACAGGGCTGTGGGGTACTCAGGGGTTGGGGCACTGCCCACAGGGCTGTGGGGTACTCACGGGTTGGGGCACTGCCAGTCCCCGGCGCGGTGCTGGACGCTCCCTCCGGACGGGTTCCCCCGGGATCCCCGTGGTCCTCTCGAGGAGAAGCCACCCCTGTCTCCACCTCTGCCCCCCATCCTGCCCATGGGGCCGCTGGGCCCGCTGGGACCCCCTGGGCCACCGGGGCCCCCTGGACCTGCGGGAAGGAGCCCTGTTAGTGCTGGGAGCCCTGGGAAGGACAGGCAGAGCTTGGGGGGGGCTGCACGGTACCTCCACGGAGGGGTGGGGGCATCCCCCGCTGCTCCCGGGGGGGCATCCCGCCCCTCAGGCTGTTCATCGGGCCCTTCTTCCGGGCCAGGGTCACCTTCAGCTTGCTGCCCTGGAAATCCTTCCCTGGGAGGGACACAATGGGAGCAGCATCGGTGAATCCTGATTCACACACGCCTGCACCCAGGCGCTCCCCACACTTGGGGGAGTTTTTGGAATTCCACCCCCAGCACTCACCATCGAACCATTCCACGGCAGTTTTGGCAGTGGACGGGTCATCGTAGGACACGGTGGCATCGCCCTTGGGCTTGCCCGTTTCCTTGTCGATGTACAGGTTTATCATGGGCTGCCCCGTCCTCTTGTTCATCTAAGGGACAGTGCAATGTCACCCCAGTCCTGTCTCCCCAGAGCCCAGCTGGGATTTACTGTTCTGCTTTCCAGCAGCTCACTGCAGGGACTCCAGGAGAGAAGAAAGGGGCCAGGCCTACCATGGATGACAGCAACTGCCCAGACACCCCAGAAATGAAGGGACAGGCCCTAAACAGCCCTGCCAGGCCTCTCCCAGAGCCTGGACATGAGGAGTCAGAAGGATGTGAGCAATAGGCAGGGAGGAGGAGGAGGAAGAGGAGGAGGTTGGGTGACCCTTTTCCCTCTGCCAGCACGGGGTCACTGATGCCCCCTCACCTTGACAACACCACACTGTTTGAAGAAATCTGCCAGATCCTCCAGGGTCACATTATCATTGAGTCCCTGCACATAGACTGCAGTGCTGTCCGAGTCCTCCTCCGGGTCCATAGGGGGGCCTAGGAGACAATTCCCAGGGTCAGAGGAAGGGCAGGGATACCCCAGGGCCGAGTTCTTTCCATCCTCCCATCCCCTCCATGGCTGCAGCTTTCCTGTCCCCACCTCACCTCCCGAGTGCCTCGGCCAGACAGAGCCCACACCCACCCACGTGGGAAGAAGCCCCAGGTTATTTCAGGACACATCCCAGAGGAGAGATGAGGAAGACCTTGGTGCCCCCTGGGCTCCCACACAAGGACATCCACCCCCCTTTTCCGATGCTGGAAGGCTGACGCAGAACTTCCAGCCACGCCTGTGTGACAGGAAGGGACAAGCCAGGGACGAGGCTTGGGGGTGCTGCAGGCTCCCTGGAAGAGCTCCAGAGCAGCCCCCAACCCCCTGCATTCCTGCAGAGAAGGGGGAGCAGCTCCCAACCACGGGTGGTGGTTTTCCAGCTGTTTGGGAATGAAGAAATGATGGAACAGCCAGAAAGGCTGGAAGTGGCAGTGGGGTGACGCCGCGGTGGCCACAGCCCTTGGAACGAGGACACAAACGTCGGTTTCACAACCTGGGGAGGGAGTTTGGCGGGAATTACCTAAATCCAGGTCGGGTCCTTCCTCCATGTGTCCTGCCAGGCGGGAGAGAAGCATAGGGAAGGGTGTTAGTGGGGGCCCTGCGGGCTGGAGAACCGACACACACAACTCTAGCTACGACCTGCGCCGCACAAGCAGCAGCACTGCACCTTACTGGGCCATCAGGTGGCTCTTTTAGCACTTCTTCCAACCAAAAACCACTATTACACTGGTTTTAAGCATTTTTTCCAACCAAAAACCACTATTACACTGGTTTTAAGCATTTTTTCCAACCAATAACCACTATTACACTGATTTCTTTTTTTTTTTAGCAGGTTTCAAACTGTTAACCACTATTAACGCTGATTTTTTAAAAAGGTTTTACCAAGCCAATCAGTTTTTAAGTTCATTAATAAAAGTTACTTAATATATCTATATATATTTAAAAAAAAATTATTACATCCAAACCATTTCTTTTCCCCAAAATTACAGGAGTGGTTGCTCAACTCTTCCACTGTGTCCGCATACCCCTGGGCATCGCCGGCAGTACCCATTACAGTCTGGTTGCATATTGTCATTTTTAAACCACTTAAACGAATAAAAAATTACACTTCGTGCTAAAAAAAAAAAACTGACTGCAAATTTTTTTTTTTTTTTTTTTTTTTTTAACACTATCCATTGTAATGCTCAAAAACTTACCACCAGGCTTATTGAAGCCACCTCGCTCTCCAGCGCTGCTGGGGGGATAAACGAAGAAATGAAGGCCTTTCCCTTTACAAAGCCAGCACCGCTCTGAGCCTCTGCGGCTCACAGGGGAGAAGGGCACTGGCTAAACATCTC